TGAGCAAGAAAGGACTTGGACGTCTACGTGACGTGTTGGGCGTGTGAGAGGATGCGTCCACGACAGTTGGTGGTGCAATCCCGGCCTCGTTATCAACGGAGCGTACCCTCGCCGTTTGCCCGACAACGAGGGGGATCGTTCCTGAGCATGGTTCGCTCCTTGCCGGGGGGCAACTGGTTGCTGCGACAAGTCAAGAGACGTCGCGCCCAACGCGGAGGATGGATTAGTGCCAGTGTCCCCAAACCGCCGGGGTACGATTTGACCAAATGGTTGTTGGCCCGACAACGTCGAGGTCAGCGCGGAGGGGCCTATTCCCGCATGATCGAGGAGTTCCCCAGGTCCTATGAGACGCCCTTTATGAGACGTATAAAACGACGACGCCGCTGAGGCGGAGACGCACTCGTCGTTGTCCTCGTCATCATGAGCAGTTTGGACCTTTTCTCGGTCCCTTCGACCGACTACACGTTGCAGGGCTACAAAATGGTGCCCTACCACAAATTGAGTGCTAGCATCACCCCCATGAAGTTCTCGGTGCAGGCCTTGGAAGATTACGTGGATTTGAATCGCAGTTATTTCATCGTCGACTTGCGTTTGTCCACGGCGGGTCAGAACGGCATCGTGGCCGATGCCAATTCGGCGTCGAATGCCAACAACACCAAGTTCACGTACGCCGTCAACAACCTGGCCCACTCCATCTTCAAGCAGATCAACGTGCGGTTCAATGGCACCCTGATGACCGAACAGACCGACACCTATCCCTACTCGGCCTATCTCCAGACCCTGCTCAACTACAACCGCGACGATGGAGAGACGTTGCTGGCCCCTCAAGGATGGGTCAATTTTTTGAACGTGACCCCGACGTTGGCCGCCGCGGGTGGCGACGACGACATCAGTACCACGGCGGGCTGGGCTCACAATAACGATAACCTGCTCAAGACCTTGACGACCCCTTTCCGGGGCAATGCCGTGGCTCGGATGATCATGCGGCCGTACCTGCCCATGTTCCACACGGGCAAGATCATGGTACCCGGGGTGGAAATGAATTTTGAGTTCCACTTCAACAGTCCGGATTTCTACACCTTTGCGACCCTGACCAGTGGCACTGGCGTCAAGAACTACGTTCGGTTGCGAGAAGAAGATGTGGACATCACTTTGCATTTGTGCCGATTGAATCTCAACCCAGATGTCTACGGGTCCCTGGAACGGGAACGCAAGCTCAAAGAGGCGGTGGTCAAGTACCCGGTGGTGAGTGATCAGATTCGCACGTTCTCCTTCAACGGGGCCACCACCGTGTGGATGGAAGATAATCTTTTTCTGGGGAGGGTCCCCCAGCGCATGATCGTGGGGATCTTGGACAGCACGGCGTTCAATGGGACCAAAGAAAAGTACCCGTTTGCCTTCCAGAGCAAAGGGGTGACGTCCATTCGACAGTTTATCGAGGGAGAAGAGTACCCGTACGTCACCCTGGAATTCGCCGGCAATAATACCCTGAAAGATTGGGAAGGCTATCGTCGCTTCTTGGACGCGGCCGGGTCCGTGACCAAACATCGCGAGTTTATGGTCAAACCGGACGAGTGGGGACACAACAAGAATTGTACCCTGTACATGTGGAACAACGTGCCTAGTGGGAACGCCGATAGCCTCAAACTCAATCCCAAGCAGACCGGCAACGTACGACTGGAAATCAAGTTCCGAGCGGCCCTGAACACCAACATGACCATCTTGGTGTGGGGCGAATTTGAAAGCGTCATCTACATCGATCACCTGGGGGCCGTGACGTATGATAACAAAGCGTAAAGGATCGCAGGGTGTAGTTGGACCATGGAACTGGTGGCGTTGAGTGATCGTCAATTGAGAGCCTTGGCGCTTTCCGACCCCGAGTTGAAGCGCGTGTTCCAAGGCGTCTATCCCTCCGATCGATTGCCCACGCACCCGCCCAAGACCACCCGAGGCGCCTACATCGTCAACACGGACCCGGCCGGCGACCCGGGCCAGCATTGGTTGGCGCTCTGGACGGACCAGGGGGTGTGCGACGTGATGGATAGTTACGGGTTGCCGTTGACCTTTTACGACGCCCCGGGCTTGCACGAATGGATCGCCAAGCATTGGAAGGTCGTGGTGCGTAGCGACAGGACCCTGCAGGCCTACGACAGTCTGACGTGTGGCCATTATGCCTTTACCTACCTGCAAGACCGCGTGCGTGGACGGACCCTGCTGGAGTATGTGGAAAGTTTTCGAGACGGCGATTACGTGTGGAACGATCATCGCGTGGGGGAACGCGTCCGGGCTTGGATCCAGACCACCCTGGACGAAGCGGCCATGGACGAACCCGATAGACCGGACACCCAACGCTGTATCTCTCGACGTTGTTTTTTGTCTTCATTAAACGAGTCTTAACCCTTGTTCGAGGTGTGTTTTTTTCGTGGGTCCCACAAGGGAAAGACGACGACTAGGGACGGGTATATCAACGGGATTGGGGACAGGAAGGGCATGGGTGCGGGGGACTTCCGCGCGAGCGGTCGGTCCGATTCCCCAAGGGTTCTCTCCCGACCGGTGGTGGGTACGTCCGGTGTTCTCTACAAAATAGTACTACCCTGGGACTGAGTTGACCGAGTCTGGCCGCGGGGGTGCCCCGTACTCAATCAAGGGGCTCTTAGCTCAGGGGGTAGAGCGGCGGCTTTGCAAGCCGCGGGTCATCGGTTCGAGTCCGATAGGGTCCACGCCACGTCGTCGCGGGCGCTCCATAAAACACTGGTGCGCTCGCGGCGACGTGATTTTTTTTGAGAATGATCACGCGCCAAGATAAGCAACGTGTCCTGGAAGCCTTGGACGAACGTCTGTGGATGGAACTGTTGTTGAACCCTGTGGACGCGTTGTGCAACACCTGGGATTATGGCCACTATCGCACTTTTCGTCGATTGGTGTGGGCCAGCGATTGGGTGGGGTTGGGTCGGGCGTTGGACGCGTGCCCGGAAACCGCCGTGGTCGAGTCCATGCGGACCCTGATAAAAGAGGCCTCGCCGCGATTGTACGCCATGGTGACACCATGATTCGTCATCCCTGCAACACGCTGGTGGGCGGTCCGTCGGGGTGTGGGAAATCGACGTGGACGCGCGGGTTGTTACGACACGCCAACGAACTGATGCACCCACCGCCTCGGGTCAAACATTATTGTTACGGGGCCTGGCAACCGGCCTTTGACGAGATGAAACAAGAGAAGGTGCAGTTTCACGAAGGATTGCCCACCTCGGAGGAATTGGACCAATGGTTCGGTCCCACGCAAGGGGGACTCTTGGTCTTGGACGATCTCATGGACGAAGGCGCCAACGACAAACGCGTGTTGGATCTCTTTTCCAAGCACTCGCATCATCGGAACATTAGCGTCCTGTTCTTATGCCAGGATCTCTTCCCGCCCGGGAAATTCGCCAAGACCATTTCGCGCAATGCCCATTACATCGTGGCGTTCAAGAACCCGCGGGATCAAGTGGGCATGCGCACGTTGACCCTGCAAGCTTTTCCCAACGACTGGTCGCACGTGATGAACATCTTTCGCGAATGCACGCAACGCCCCTTTGGCTATTTAATGCTGGACTTACATCCCGCGTCAGACGATCGGTACCGTCTCTTCACCAACGTGTTACCGGAGGAAGGACCGACGGAGACCTATGAACGCCAAGCATGAGTCGACGGACCACCCCTTCGTCCGACGAGTTTCGGGACGATCTGGATTTCGACGTCTTGACCTGGGAGAATGAACTGGCGCGAGAACAGGCACGACAAGCGCGGAGACGCCAAGGAGGCCGGCAACGGGACTTATCGGAACGTCTGCAAGGGCACACCACGCCTTTGGCGGTAGGTGTGGGACGGTCCCCCCTCGTCACGCCGACGGGGGTACGGGATGCCTTGGCACGGGCCATGGACCTCTCGGGGATTCCCACAGCCCCGCCGGCCGGGGTAGGCGTCGCGCCCAATCTGGTGCCCCCCAGGGCAGACCTGCCCAGTGCGGAGGCCATCCGGACCGCGGCCCGGGACTTGCCGTCACCCACGTTTAGTCCCCGCCAAATTGGGGTCATGGAACAGATTCTTCGAAACGAGGTACCCGAAGATCAAATCGATGCCCTGTTGGACTCGGTGGGGCTCGACAACAACCGATTGGCCGATTACATGGCCGCACGCCCCCCGTCACCCGTACGCTCCCCGACGCCCGCGCTCACCACCCAACAACTCGATGTCATGGAACGGATTGCCCGAGGGAATTTTCGTCCTGGGCAAATCGAGGCGATGTTGAGGGCCGCGGGTCTCACCAAGGACCAATTACGCGACTATGTCATGAACCGTCCCGCCACTCCCCGGTCCCCTTCACCCCCCCGGGCACCGCGAGGGCGAGGCCGAGGTCGAGGTCGAGGCCGAGGCCGGGGACGCGGCGGGGTGCCCCCCGGAGGAGGGGGCGGCGGGGGCGACGACGATGGAGGCCCGCCTGGGGGTGGCGGCGGAGGCGGTGGAGGGGGCCGTCGTGGCCGTGGCCGTGGCCGTGGCCGTGGCCGTGGCACGCCCCCTCGACGACGAGCGCGCATGAATCAAGACGAATTGCGACGCCAGATGGACCTGTTGGCCGAAGATGCCCGTCAACGGTCCGTGGGGCGCCGTATTGCCGGCATCACGCATACCAATACCGTCACCACGGTCTACAAGGATGGAGGAGAACCCGAAGTCTATCGCACGTCCTCGCGGTTGTCCACGCCCAACACGGTATAAAAAAAGCAGTCACGGAACCTGACCCCGTCACATCGCATCATGGTTCGACGCGGACGGAGACGACGACGACGACGGGGGTTGGTGGCCACACCCAGGTGGCCCCCGAGACGCATCTGGCAACGAGGAGGAGGAGGCATCTTACCTTGGGTCCTCCCTCTGGCCATCGCCGCGGGCAAGAGGCGACGCCGATAGGGACCCAGTCACTCTATAAAGACCCCCTGGACCGTTGACCGTCGGAGGACACCATGGTGCGACGCTTACAACGACAACTGCCGTTTTTGCGGAGCGTGTTGCGCGAAGCCGACCAGCGCGTGAGACGGGAACGATTGCAGCACGCCAATGCCGATCAAGTCAATGCCATCAGTGAGTTGGTGATGAACACCTTGAAAGGGCATGTGGCCGTCCCGCCTCGACTCTTGGATCAGTTGCGTCCGCACAAGCAAGCCTTGCGCGACATGGCGCGTCGCAAGCATTCCATAAAACGGCGACGGCAGGTCATGATGACTCAAACCGGGGCGGGCATGTGGCACGCTTTGGATCGCGTGTGTCGTTGCCTGTCAAGATGAGTCATGGACCGTACCAGAAAAAGTACGTGGTGTCCCCGGAGGACATGGAGCGGTTGGTGGACCATTACAAAGGTGCGTTGATGGAGAATTCGCGGTTGACGCATGCTGCGCGGTTGGCGGCCAAACAACACGTCTTGCTGGCCTCCCCCAACATCCCGCCGGCCACCAAAAAGATCCGCGTCAAAGCCCTGGGACCCGCGGTGCGTCGAGCCACCAAACGCGTGCGGACCATGGCGTTGCCAGGAGCCGGAGGGGCCGCGGCGGGGGCCGACGACGACGGCGACGAGTTTGCCCAAGGACCCATGGAGACCTTCTTGAAAACACTTATAAAAAGCAGCACGCCCCCACCCAAGGCCACACCCAAAGGGAAACCGAAGGTCCCACCCAAGCCGAAGTTCAAGACGCCCACCTTGGTCCCGTTACCGGAGGACGATTGGGAAGAGGAATTGGCGGAGCCCATTCCGAGTACGTCCAAGAGCAAAGGCAAGTCCCCGGCGACCATCCCGAAGAAAAAAACCCGCTTCAGTTATCATCTCCCCAAGGCTCACAAAGAAGCGCAGAAGTTGAGACCTCAACCCGGCTGGAGCGTGTGGGGAGAAAAGGTGCAGCGGAAACTGGATGGCAAGGACTACTAGACGCCGCCGACGCCGCGCGTCGCGCCGTGGCCGCCGCCGCCGCATGGTCGGTCGGGGGTTGGACGTGCAAAAATGGTTGGGCAAGACCGGCATCGAATTTCATTGGCCCGGGTACCAATACATGGGGCCAGGTACCCATTTGGAGAAACGCCTGAAGCGCGGGGATCCCGGCATCAACCGATTGGATCGCATTTCCAAACAACACGACATTGATTATTCTCGCGCGCGCAATCTCCAGGACAAGTGGAAAGCCGACGACAAGATGATTCGGGCCATCACGAACCTCCCGGGGAAAAAGACCCTAACCGAAGGCATCGTGAAAAAAATCATGCAAGCCAAACGCAAATTGAAACTGTAACGTGTTTATTGAGGCAAAGACTTACATGTGGTTGATCTAAAGTAGAGTTCTAGTGACCAAAAAAAATAAAAGTGTTTTTTGTCAGTGTACGGTTTACATCTCAGTATTTTTTTGGGGGGTTCATGGCGTCCTACTTGAACATTGTTTTTTACAACACATCACACTTGTCCCTAGTTCCCGTCCTTGGCTCCTTGGGAGCTTCCCTCATGACAGTCGGTCCAGTCCACGGGTTCCGACCATTCGGCGGGCATCATCACGTACATGACCTCGGTGCGGCCCAAACCCACGTCCTTCTTGGTGGGGCATTCACGCAACAGGGTTTGGCATTCGTCACACCGTCCGTACACTTTAAACACGGGTCGTTCACAAAGCGCTTCGTCGGGCACGATCTCGGCTTCAGCTAATAAGATCTTCAAGAAATCGAAGGCAGGGTGGATCTTCACGGCCGTCGGTAAAGGCAGCATCTCCTTGGTGAGACCACAACAAATCATGGCCCGTAATTCGATGGGTTCCGGGGGCGGCAGGGTCTGGGTCTGGGGGTCCCATTTCGTGAGGTACGTGAAGATGCCCAACAACCGCTTGCTCACTCGATCGGAATTGCCCGTGGTCACACATCGGAGCAGCGCTGGGAGTTCCTTGCTCAACAGGGTAAAACACCACGAGGCAGGGGACGGCAAGCAATGGTGGGAAAACATCCGATACATCCACTCGCATTGTTCCTGGGATTCGCTCTCGATGCGAACGCCATCTGTAAAAAACAAAAAAGTTCAGTCCGAGTCGGGCGGTGCCGATTTGCCCACCCCATAATAATGGCAATCGCACACCCACCCGCTGTGGTGGTAACACTCGGCCGAGTCTAACACGGGGTGAGGCCCTCCACGTTCTCGCTGGGTCAAAAACGAATGCACGTTGGTCCGTTGCGACTGTACCAGTACAAACACTCTGCATAATAACCAAATGCAATGACAAGGCGCTCGCGGCCAGGTGTGTGCGTGACGTAGAGGGTAAGGGTGCACCACGCGTTCTAACGTACCTCGGGCCACGTCCGCGCCTTGGTGCACGGAACAATAACATCTCGCCTCGTTGCCAACAATCTTCAAGCACGACGCCATGGGACAGTTAGCCGGTGTCAGAACAGGAACCAAACATGAACAACCAAGTGACCCTTGGCAGTGAAAATGCAATGGGCTTTCCCCGGCTCGCTATATACCCACCTCGGACCTCGGTCCCGGGCTCTCTCGACCCACCCTCAACAGATGGGGGATGGGGGGGTATCCCCCCCTCTTTTTGGGGGTGGTTAGAGGGGGGTCCCATTCATGAGACCCCTCTTCCCACACCATAAAAGGACCTCTGGCCGCCCATCGACTCCAAACGCAATCTTCATGCAGTCTTACATGATATGGTGTGGCCTTTTACTGTGGAGTGCTGTTGTTTGTGCGCGAGGGAACTGGTCCGAGCCGTCATCCGTACCCCCTGTTGCCACGTGCTGGTCCATAAAGCCTGTTTGTACGCCGCCTTGGCCATCACTCCGTCCCGTCCGACCCCCACGTGCCCTCACTGTCGACAAGCGTTGGGTCTGGCCCATTTTCGTCGCTTGTGTTGGCGTTTGTCGGGTAAGTGGAGTCCATGGTTTGAATGTCCCCTTGCCCCTGTGTCCCCCTCACGCTCATTCTCACCATGGGGTTTACTTACAGAGCATGGATCCACCACCACCACCGTCTTCCGCTGGTCCTCCCGACGACCACGACGAACGGGTAAGTGGAACCCATCGGTTGATTTGCTCCCGCGCCCCCCTTGCCACCCTCGCCTTCCCGCGTCCCTTGCCTCCCTCGCTCATATCTTCCTTTGTTCGTTCCACTTAGGGGCCACCACGACCACCACCACCACGATCGTCACCACGCCGCGACGCCAGGCCATTGCAGGTAACGATGGTTTTTTTGGTCACCCACGGGGGAAAAACCGACTTGGGCCGTGATGTGAACCTGAGCCCACCCCCGGTTTGGTCGAAGACAAACCGGGACAAGTCAGTCCCTCTCCGTTCTTTCTCGACTCGATGAGGATGTCTTGTGTGATGGAGACCTTGTGCTCCACAGGATCCGGCACCTCATTTTTTCCCTCCGTCTCGCTTTGCTGAATTTTTTGGGTCGTCTTCCAGTAGGGCTGTGATACCTGGCAGCAGGTGGAGTCCACGTTGCCCCCTTACCCCTTTTCCCTTACGGGCAGGTTTTCTGGTTGGCACCTGTTTTAGAAGCTGTCTCTGTTTTTTTGGTATTTTTTTGTTCTGGCCGGTTTTTTCTCCTAGGAGGAGCAGGTTTTCGCTCTTGAACTTTCTTGGCTGTCCTCATCCACTCTTTTCCTCGTGCTAGACAACCACTCTTTCGTTTTGCGCCACTTGGGTTAGGGTTAGGGTCTCCTTTCTTGATCGTCTCCTAGCTTGGTGATCTGGAGGTCTTTGGCGAGTCTTCTCTGGATGGTCATGTCCTTTTGGCTATTCTCCTCTGTTTGGACCGTTTGCCTTTGTCTTTGCTTTTTTAGCTCTCTGTTGTAGCATCGGATACTCTGGCCGTGGCCCTCTGGGGTCCATGAAGGTCCAACAGCTCGGACTCGGACCTTATCGAGGGAGTTAGGGTGCATTCCTTGCCCAGAATCCAGTGACAGCAAGACCACCGAGACAGACCTTACTAGCCGACCTTGGACAGGACGCGACCTGGGGGTGCACGTAGGTTGCCGAGGGGTGCATTTCCTGTAGGCCGGGGAAGAACGAGGGTTGACAGACCCACCTACCTGAGCAAGCAGTTCTGACGCCGGGCAAGAACGCACCGACCTACTTGAGCAAGCAGTGTTGATGCGGGGAAAGAACAGAGCCACCTGACAAGCATGGTTACTCCAGACATCCACTGGAGTGTTCACTTGGATCTGGTAACAGGGCCACCTGAAACCACGGACGACGATGAAATCCCATGCCTTGGAAGAATGCTGTTGGATAGCTTGGAGGATCATTTTTTGACGAGGCTGTTGGAGAGGCGATTGGAGCGTAGTCAAATCCTTGCAGTTCTCCCTGTGGGACCACACCCTTGGTACCCTGCTGAAAGTCATTCGCCGAGCAGAAGTCGTCCAGGTACTAGAGAACTTGAAGGGCTGGAGTTGGCTTGCCGTTGCGGGTGCCATGGTACCTAGAGAAGTGGTTTCGTCTGACAGACCTCGCGGTGGATCACCACCACAGAGGATAGATTCTCTGTCGTCGGCGATGACATTCCATGGGACGCGTGTGTGAAAAATGGGACGCGTGTGTGAACCAGATGGACGTAGTAGGGCAAACAGTGACAGGTCCCCAACTCTACCTCACAGCCTGACCAAGTGGACTGGGCACTGACACTCTGCCTCAGTGAGTTGCCGGCTACCCCATTGCGGTCGACCTTGGAGGCCCCCTCTGTCTTTGGCCTGTGGTGCTGTTGCCTGACTGTGGGGAGTCGACGGTGCTGTTGCCTGACTGTGTGAGGGTCGTCGGTGCTTTCCTCACCAAGACACATCCTGTTGATTGGCTTCTTTGGTGACTTTTTTTGGGGAGAGCCTCCATTCTCCAGGCCGTCTAGATCCATCCCCTGATGAATCCTCGAGCACGTGACGATGTGCGAAACATCGGCTTCTGTGGAGTACTTCTTGGATGGTTGCCTGGGCAAGTCGTCTGTTTGTGCGCTCTCGTTTATGTTTCCATAGCTTGTCCTGAGGGAAGAAATGGAAGTGGTTAGGTCACACCCACACAGAGAGAGACGAGTCGAACGCGTTGTGTTTGGGGGAACACTGTGGTCTCAGAACTCCCTTCTCCTCCACAACGAGCAAGACCTTTCCATAGCCATTCCATACAGTCCCCAGCAAGTCCATTCTCCCTTTTCCATCGCCAAAGGCGTGCAGACCCAAGCAAGTCCATTCCACCTTTCGAGGGGCGTCCACATCACCTTGGTTTTTTGGGTGGGACATCTGTTCCAGCCTTTCTTCATCATCGTTTGGTGTATGGACTGCTTGTTCTGCCGATTCCCTGGTCCAAAACCCGTTGTTCCGTCACTGGCACAGGAAGCCATCGCGTTTCACTGCCACAGGGTTCCTGATTCATTCCAGTTGCCCCATTGCGATGGATTCGTGGAAGTTCGAGATCCATTGGACTTGGTCAGAGCTCCATTGGTTTGTTCGATATCGGGCGTGTTTTCTTCTGGAAGGAGAGAAGGTCTTGGGAGATTTTCCTGGGCTTTGCAAGATCCTGCACGAAACCACCACCCTCCTGGGATGTCCGTCGTGCATACCTGTCTTTTTTTCCCTAGGTTTGTAGGGTCAGGTTTGTCTTGGCTGTACTTTGGGTGGAGGATGGAAGCTATTGGTCGACGATGGTCTCTGATGATTTTCACCATGAGTCTGCCGAGAGCTGATTCTTCAATGTTGGTCTGCCGGATGTGATAGAAGGGTGATTCTTTCAATGTCACAGAAAAAGAGTCCGATTTGCTGTCAAGACCTCTGGTCTCAGCCCTCAAGCTCTGAGATGGACGATCTCCATTCTTTTATCATCAGCAGCATGTTTTTTTTGGCTTGGAGTTCACAAGTTGGAGTGCATGGGCAAGTTGGAGTGCATGGATGTGAGTGGTTTGGACTTCCCCGTTCGAGGCATCTCTCTCTGAGACGCTCTGGTCATGACGCTGGTTTCGTCGGTGGAAGGGATCGATCGTACAACCCTCTGCTTCTTTGGATTGAGGGCACTTTTTCTGTTTGGGTGTAGCTGCTTGTCTCGGTCCACTCTTTGGCGGTGATATCAGGTGAGGCTCACTGGGACTTGGTAAGGGTCCCGAGTGAACTTGAAAGGCTGGAGAGCTTAACCTGACTCTGGTCAGCTTGTTGAGATATGGACTCAGATCGGCTGGCCGAGGTGTCTCACGGCGACACTCGTGTTCAAGGTGGGTTTCTTCTAACCGACTTTCAAGGTAGGTTTCTCCTAACTGACTTTTTATCCCTGG